GAGCCCAGGAGTTTGAGGTTGCTGTCAGCGAGGCTGATGCCACAGCACTCTAGCCCGGGCAAAAGAGTGAGACTCTGTCTCAAAAAAAAAAAAAAAAGCTACCATCTTCTTAGTGGTGCAAACCTAGGCAGCTGTTTTTAACTTGCTCATCAAGAAAAGTGACAAACTGAGGTACAATTACTCTTGATGTCATTAAGTTACAAAAAGTTTAAATTTTTGCTTATTAAATATCATAATTTTATAGGTCACTTCCCCACTTTCTTTATATAAGACAATATATAAAAGACTATCTAAGAACACACTACCAATATCAGCTCCCTTTATCTTAATGACAAGGCTAGAAACAGAACAAAATTTTAAACAGTGTTAGTTATTCCTAGAGGTATGGCCTAAAATACAAAGTGTCACATATCATTGTGAACATAGCTTTCAAAAATCATTTTAAAAACGAAGTCATTCAATACTTCCATTAGGGAGATACCAGTCACAAGATATGGGAAAAAAAATTTTTTTTTAAATTTTTCTAATACTACATAATGAGCTCTTGCTGCTTGGAACATTTTAAGTGATAAAAAGTTTCAAAAATTACTGTATTCTCAAACAATTTAGATGGGTATTAATGTAATATTCTCTAAAAAACAATGATAATTACTAAAAAAAAAGTGACTTATGGTATTGAAGACACTGATGTCATATAAATGAGAATATGTGAATAAAATTATTTTATACAAGGAAAGAACAGAAAAACACATTTTTCTAAATTAATATATTTTATATATGTGATTTTAAAAATATATAAGAAAGCTATCCTTAAAAATTCTCCTTAAAGTTATCCAAAAAACTTTTCTTTTTCATTAGGAATATAGAAAATTTCCTTTATTTAATTATAATCGATATTGAAATATACATTTATGCTAAATTATATTCCACACTGCATTAACAAGGCAGGTCCTAGGAGATGTCAAAGGTTTAAAAAAAATTAATGGCAGAAAATCTTTCAAGGAGAAAATTTTATCTACTTGCTTAATTTTGTCTATACCTTCAGGAAAATATAACATTTTATTTTAGCAAATGAACATCTTTCTAACTTGTAGAAGACCCTTTTCTATAGGAACATAGTTTTCAAACAACTCATCTTAATTTCTATATCACTTCATTCTTTTATCCAAAAGCTTATCTCTAGTAAATTCTTAAATTGAATTCTTTTAAGCTTTGAGAATTCCTTTATTTTTGAAATTTGGAAAGAGTGCTCATGCTTTGTTGTGGATATCAACCACATTAATCAGGAAAAATCTTAACTCAGCCCTTAATTTTTACTTATGTGTAACTCCTCCTTGATCATTTTAGCAGCCATTATCTGAACTGCCCAGTAAACATTACTAGGTATAGTGTTCCAAGAGTAGATCAACCTAGATTTTAGATGCTGTGCATAAAAAAAAACTATATGCTGCCTACTTTAAATGTAAAGACACAAACAGGTTAAAAGTAAAAGACTAGAAATGGATAAAAAAGAGCTGGAGCAACTATATTAATATCAAGACAAACCAGATTTCAGAGCAAAGAATATTATCATGGCTAAAGCAGGTCATTTCATAATGATAAAGGGAATGAATTCATCAAGAGGACACAGTATCCTAAATGTTTATAAACTTAATAACAGAGCTTCAAATTACATGTAAAGCAAACAAAAACTTCTGCAAGGAGGAAAAGGCAAACCTACAATCAAAGCCTGAGATTTCAATATCTCTTTCTCAGTAATTCAAAGAACCAGACAACAAATCAATAAAACACAGATGACCCGAACAACACTACCAAGCCAGCTTGGCCTAACTAACATTTATAGAACATTCCACCACAAATCAGCAGAATGCACATGCTTTTTAAGTACCTATGGAACATTTACCAAGCTAGACCATATTCTTGGCCACAGAACACATCTTAATAAATTCAAAAGGATTTGAGACATATAAAGTACGTTCGCTGAGCACAATGGAATTAAATAAGATGGGTAATAGAAATATCTCTGGAATCAAAAAGTCCCAAAACAATAAATGTTGGCGTGGATGCGGAGAGATAGGAACACTCATACACTGCTGGTGGGACTGCAATCTAGTGCAGCCTCTGTGGAAAGCAATATGGAGATACCTTAAAGAGATACAAGTAGAATTACCGTTTGATCCAGCAATCCCATTACTGGGCATCTACTCAAAAGAACAAAAGTCACTCGATAGAAAAGACACCTGCACCCGAATGTTTATAGCAGCACAATTCACAATTGCAAAGATGTGGAACAACCCAAGTGTCCATCAATACATGAGTGGATTAATAAAATGTGGTATATGTATACCATGGAGCACTATTCAGCTATAAGAAACAATGGTGATATAGCACCTCTTGTATTCTCCTAGATAGAGCTGGAACATATTCTACTAAGTGAAGTATGCCAAGAATGGAAAAACAAGCACCACATGTACTCACCATCAGTTTGGTATTCACTGATCAACACATAAGTGCACATATAAGAATAACATTTATTGGATGTCGGGCATGGGGGAGGGAGGAGAAGGGGACGGGTATATGCATACATAAAGAGTGCGATGAGCACCATCGGAGGATGGACACGCTTGAAGCTCGGACTTGGGAGGGGAGGCAAGGGCGACATACGTAACCTAAACATCTGTATCCCCACAATATGTTGAAATAAAAAAAAAAAAAAGAAATATCTCTGGAAAACTCCCCAAATATTTGGGAACTAAATAATAACCCTATAGATAACCTGTGACTCAAAGAGGAATGAAAAGGAAAATTAGGAAGTATTTTGAACATCAAAGCAGTAATTAGAGGAAAATTTATAGCACTAAAACACCTATATTAGAAAAGAAGGTCTCAAATGAATGACCTCAACTTCCACCTAGAAGGAAATAATAAAGATAGCAGATATCAAATAGAAAACAGAAAAATACAGAAAACTCAAACCTAAAGCTGGTTTTTTGAGATGATTCTTCCCATTTTCTCCACAAAATCTGCTCTACTCACAGAATTCTCTATGTCAATTGATGATAACTTCATTTTTCACATTGCTTAGGCCAAAATTTGGATTCATCCTTTTTTTTTTTTTTTTTTTTTG